TAGCGGCTCTCTGGCGCCCCCTTGGGGCACACTATGGTAATAAGGCTCAACCTGGCTTAAGACAGCGGGCGGCTCAGCTCTTATGTTTTCTTAGTTATCTTCCACATAGTCTTCATTTCGGAAAAGTAAAGAAAGTCCCTGCCTGTGTAGAGTTTAAACTCTGGTGGTATCTCAGATTTCATTTCTAAACATGGGTCCGATCATCTAGAAACCGTTTGAAGAAAATGAAAACACTAGACCTCTTCTCATGGAGGTATTTCCAACAGTCCTTTAGGAGTCCGTTTTAATGACGGGTTCTTAGGTGTTTTTCCCTGGTTTTCTCTTCTTGTTTGTGGAAAGATATATGTCTTTTGTGTTCATTGTAATAAATCTAGATACATTGAGAGATTGTGAATGCTTCATTAGGAATTAGAGAATTCTCCAGGAAATTCAACCTTAGAAGCTACCTCACCCAGTTTCCTTTTCAGAGGAGATAGTGAGATGCAAACTTACCCTCCCAGCTGCCATCTGCTCAGTGGGCTTCAGTGTCTCCCTAACCAGGCCCCATCGAGGCCTTAAAGTTCCCCGAAGCTTTGAGGGGATATTGTTTACTTGGTAACTGAGAAGCTTAAAGGCCCAGTAGCCTCAAATATAGAAAAACTGAGTCAGGCTTTCAAAAATGAAGACTCATTACTTATTGTTTATAAAAATGTAAATTTATAAGTAAAAGTTACTTTTTGAATTAGCATGCCTACTATTTTTAGCTAACAAGAAGCATATACTATAGTACTATTTGATATAAGTTCCTAAGCGGATCTTAAACTACTCATTTGTGTTCTTTATGCAGGCATAAATTTGACCATTTGTATTTTTATCAAATTATCTCATGTGGTTCCGATGGCAGTGGTTGCATATCAGAAAACACTGAGAATCAGTGCCCTAGGGCTTGAAGGATGGCCCAGAAAGCTTTAGGATGCTAACTTGTTGTCTGCAAGAAAACATTTCCCTTTAGCTTAGCTCTCAGAGAGAGATCCCATTTCTGTAAAGGCTCTCTAAGTTCCCTGCACAATTATATTCTGAGCATTTCTTGAAGGCCTACTTGTGCTAATAGATTCGGGCTGACTGGAAATGGCTAAGTCATCTCCAGCATGAAGTTGTTTCCTTTGTAGGTTTTTCCTACTTAGTCATGGTGCTCAAACGTGAGCCATCCATGTTCAGAGGGAGGTGGGGGGGGGGGGGGGGGGGGGGGGGGGGGATCTTTAAGACTTAATAGGCTTCCAAAACCTCTGACAGACGCTACCCTGAGGAACTGGAACATTATTCCCTGAAAATGCCTTCCAAGTGGAGGTTTCACTGCAAAGGATACTTTTTGGCTTTACAATTAGCAAAACAAATTTTTCTTGCTTCCAGCATCAAAATGAACACATAAAAATGAAAAATTCTCAGTTTACGGATTCTAAACAGATATGCAAATCCTGAAGATTCTTTGTTGCTAGTTTAAGGTATATTCTAATATCTGCTTAAACAGTGATGCTTCAAGCATGGTCATGAGCTAATATGGGAAGTAGACCAAGGTGCTCTCTCGTCTCTGCTTCCTGATTCTCCTCTACCTGGGAAAGTATTCATTTCTACCTTCCTCTGGCCCCAGGGCCTGTGGGAGCTGAGCTCTCTGCTTTGTGTTCGCAAACCTGCCTTTCTTAGCTGCTAATAGCAACTTACAAATAGAAGTAGGTGTTTTACTTCTTTCTGGGACTTTTGCATTTTGAGGATGGAAGGTTTTGTGCTATTCAGGAAGGATGATGAATATTTGCAAAAGTTCAGAAAATATTTCTGGGCAGCAAAGGGGTTTCCCCTGAAATCAAAATCCCCAGACTATTTCTTCCCTCTGAGAAATCACTCTGACCTTTGTTCTTCCTTCCTTAGTCTTTTCATAATATGGTAGCTATAAAAAATGCCATCTTAATCATCGAGGGACACTAAAATGTGTCTCTGAATGCATGTTACTTTTATTTTCCCTTTACAGTTTCTTAAAGCAAATTAAACACATGAATATGGATTTATGCAAATTCACATGAATAAATAATGATGTATATATGAACATATTGCCATATTTTGTGTAAATTGCTATAAAATGAAGATTACTTTCAAGTAGTGGGTTTTGCATGGACTACTTAAATTATTGTGCAAGAAAGAGTGTGTGGAAGAGAGGGGGGCAGAGAGAAATATTGATCTGAGAGAAACAAATCAATAGGTTGCTTCCTGCATGTGCCCTAACCATGGCCTGGGCTGGGGAAGAGCCTCCAACCTGCCCTTGACCGGAATCGAACCTGGGACCCTTTGGTCCGCAGGCTGACGCTCTAGCCACTGAGCCAAACCGGCTATGGCCGTGGTCGGCAAACTGCGGCTCGCCAGCCACATGCGGCTCTTTGGCCCCTTGAGTGTGGCTTTTCCACAAAATACCACGTGCGGGCGCGCATGTACAGTGTGATTGAAACTTCATGGCCCATGCGAAGAAGTCGGTATTTTGTGGAAGAGCCACACTCAAGGGGCCAAAAAGCCGCATGTGGCTCGCGAGCCGCAGTTTGCTGACCACTGGCTAGGGCATATGTTCATTCTTATTCATTTTTTGGATAAGATATGTATGTCTCCACAGAAACTGTAAAGGGAAAATAAAAGTAGGGCAATGGAGACGTACATATCATGTTGAAACTATGTTTCAGGTAAAAAAGGCAAAAAAAGAGCCGCACTAGCTAATAAAACACTGACGATTCCTTTTGTAAGCTCGTCAGATATTGGTGCGCTGAAATGTACTTTGTGATGTTTGTTCCTCAAAGAGTTTTGTTTTTATTTTGAAAGTTTCTATTGGAGAGAGCAATGGAAGAGATAAGCCACTTTCACATGCTCCATATGTTTTTAATTCAGAGCTTAGCATGTTTGGCATGTTGCAGGCCCTCCCTCGATGGGTGTTCATTGATTGCTTTGGGAGGTACTGAAATGCGGGGTGGAAAATGCACTGGATTAGTACTGCCCCTGGCAGGATATGTGAGACCAGGACAGTCACTTCAACCAGGCGCACAGGCTTATTAACTTGTAAGTTTACCCAGCGTGCAGTTATTCAGTCAGAGAATGTTACAGTAGATAGAGAAGTCACATATTGTTCGACGTAGCCCCTCTTTTCCAGAGGAATCTGAGCCCCAGATGGATCGATGATTTGCTCTGTAATTAGGAGCAAAACTATGTCACTTATTCTCATCCCAGCTCTTAATTGCATGCTTTCACTACAACCCTGACATTTCTATAGAGTATAACCCGGTTCTAATAGTTTTGAGTTCACATTTTATCCCCTCAACTCTGTGTGCATAGAATTTAATGATATTCCCATTTGACAGATGAGAAAAAAATGAGGGTTAGAGAAGTTGTGACTCATTCAAGAACATGTTCATTGTAGTCGAAGCACTTTCTCGTTTGCTCTTTATGGTGTTACTTCTTGTTGAGGGTGCAATGTCCCTAGGTCTCTAACCTGAACTTTTGTTAAGGTGCTTTTATTGGAAATGTTTGGATCTTCTGTCTAATCTTTGAAAAATAAAGTGAACTTCAGTCTGGTTCTAAAACTTGAGGAGTTTAATTTAAAACTAGAGGCCCGGTGCATGAAAATTCATGCACTGGAGTGGGGGGGTTCCTTAGCCTGGCCTGCCCCCTCTCACAGTCCTGGAGCCTTCAGGGGCAGGAGGCAACCCAACGATCAGGGGAAGGTGATGCCCCCATCACTCCTCTGCTGCTGCCACTGCTGGAAGCGCAAGCCTCGGCTGGACCTGGTTAACTGAGCCTCGGGCCGGCCCTGGGCGGCTGGATTGCCGCCATCCAAGGCTTTCCTGCGCCTCAGGCCAGCCTGGGCAGCTGGGCAGCCGCCATCTGAGGCTTGCCTGCACCTCGGGCCGGCCCTGGGCAGCGATTGCCGCCATCCGCAGCTTGCCTGAGCCTCAGTCAGTGGGGGTTGCAGGAGGACCCAAGGCCCCCGCAGGGCTGAGAGGACTCCGGCAGCAGGCACGCAGAGCAGGTGCCCCGGCTGAGGAAGGGAGGGTACTCTCAATGACATGAGTTACAACTTCCAATTTGTTGGACACCACAGTCAGGCTTCGGCTTCGGGGGAGGGAGGAAGAGAGGGATGGGCAGCTCATTGGAGGAGCCTGAGCGAGCTGTCAGTCAGTGGGGGGTGCAGGAGGACCTGAGGCCACTGGTGGGGCTGAGGGGACTTTGGCGGCAGGCAAGTGGAGCAGCAGGCCCTGCCCCCACAGTGTGATGGTCAATTTGCATATTACCTCTTTTATCATATAGGATTAAACCAAATCAACTGACAAAAAAATGGACAAGCATGAACATATGCCCTGGCTGGTTTGGCTCAGTGGATAGAGCATCAGCCTGTGGACCAAAGGGTCCCGGGTTCGATTCCGGTCAAGGGCAGGTACCTCGGTTGCAGGCTCTTCCCCAGCCCGGGCCCTGGTCAGGGCACATGCAGGAAGCAACCAATTGATATGTTTCTCTCACATCGATATTTCTCTCTTTCCCTCTCTCTCCCACTCTCTCTAAAAATCAATGGAAAAATATCCTTGGGTGAGGATTTTTTAAAAAATGAACATATGTATTCCTAGTAGTTAAAATAAATAGGCTTCAACATTCTGGAATTTGTTAGCCTGGCATTTTAAAGTTTGAGAGTATAATCTCAAACTGTCACTGTTTTGATATTTTTATTGTCGTTTTTGTGAATAAAAAAACTAATCGGTTGACATTTTTAAAATTTAAAATGGAAGAATGAAAAGGGGAAAAAAGTTTCCAAGTTATAGACCAAAGCATTCAAAAGGGGTTCTTAAGTGAAGCTAATTCTCACCTTCATGTAATATGTTCTCTTTTCCTCCAAAAGATACAGTGTTGGCTCGCAAGTCTTAGTGGGGAAAAGGCCAGGAGGCTAGATAGCTTGAGAAGCAAGAAAGACTTTGCAGCCTCCCTTCTAAAGTATGAAGCCTTCCTGCTGCAATGAGGCAGGACAGACGTTCTTTCGTAACGGTGCCTTGGAATTTGTTTCATGTGAACGGTAGAGCAAAAGCTAATTATATTGTTATACCCAGACATACACCAAAGAAGATCATGTTTCACCCTTCATGTTCAAAATATTCCCAGGGCATTTAGACTGAATTAGGGAGAGTATTGAGTCAATGCTCGCATTTAACTGTTGAGGAAGCAAAGATTTAAGGAGTTGGGTGTCTTGTCCAAGTTGTCACACACACATGCCATGCTGGAGCCAAAACCCCGCTTTCCCGCCTCCCTTCCTGGGCCACTGTGTTACTAAAACAAACTGTGTTCCTATGTAAGGTCGTCAGTAGCCAGTAAACAGTTGTCCGGAATAATTTCACCCGGGACATGTGCACGATGGACAAAACTGCATTTCTGTGAAGGATCACGAATGTGCAATCAACAGGTCATGGATGCCATTTACCGTTGACAGAAGGAGATGCGCTATGATGGAAACCTGGGACATAAAGGTGGAATTTTCCATCTAAATTGCCAGCAAGGCAGCTTTAGGAACAGCAGTACGTGTTGGAGGAAATCTGGAGGGGACTGACCGCCAGATGACTCCTGAGCTGGACTGGGGCCATCCAAGGCTCCTTAACTCCTCCCTATCCTTGCAACTTATATTCCGCCACAGTTCCCATAGCCCAAGCTGTTTCAAGGATGTAACCCGGAGAGAGTAAAGTGTGGAGACCGTCTGGACCGAACCCAGGTAAGGCCTCCACATATACAGTATTTTTAAGGTTCTGGCAGGTGGGTGTGGAGATGTACTGGTCTTGCTGTCGCCTAAGACAAGCCTCATACGAAGTTCCCTTGCTTATTAGAACTGCCGCCTACCAATCTGGAGTGGTCTGCCTCTTTCTTCAGTCACTTCACACCCTTTTTACAAAGCAACAGTATGATATGGTGTTTTAGGGTAAATTTAGCAAAATATCGGCCAAAAGGGTGTTTTTTTTCCAGATTTTTAAACCAAATGGTAGGAATTTGAAGGACAGGCTTACACACATACAGGATAGAGTCTCTGTGATGTTCACCCAAGAAAGTAGAGCCACTTTTAAACCACGGGGGACAAAAAAGGAATTTCTATTCTTTTAAAGATCCTTAGAGAAGGGTTGTATTTGATGATTTGCTCCAATGCTTGACCACATATTAGGAACTTTTAAACCCAACATATCACATGGCAAGGTTTGAGCATGTGTGATGCATAAAATTGGGGTACATAAGACTCATTCTTTCTATTATTCTTATGCTTTACTACCATTCCTTAGTCTCTTTTCATAACTTTTTCTGTTTTCTAGAAATATTATTTTTAAGACTATTTTTTTAGAGGAGCTTTGGTTTATCAAAAAATTGAGAGGGTAGTCAGAGATTTCCCATATACCCGCTGCCTAGTCTTCCCCCATTATCAACACCACTTACCAGAATGATACCTCTTCTTTTTTTTTTTAAACCAAGGGTGAACTTACATTGACACATCATAATTGCCCAAAGTTCGTAGTGTACCTTAAGGTTCCCTCTTGGTGCTGTACATTGCATGGGTTTGGACAAATATTAAATTACATTCATCCATCATTATAATGTCATACAGAATATTTTCACAACCCCCAAATCCTCTGTGCTCTGTTCCTTCATCCTCCCCCAGGCCCTACACCCACCCCAGTGCACGCTTCCTGACCCTTGGCAACCACTGGTCTTTTTATTGTCCCCATAGTTTTGCCTTTTCTAGAATGTCATATAGTTGGAGTCATACAGTGTATGCCTTTTCATATTGGCTTCTTTTACTTAGTAATATGCATTTAAGATTCATCCATGTAATTTTCAGGGCTTGATAGCGCCCTTTTTTATTTTTTTAAGTACTGAGTAACATTCCATTGTCTGGATGTACCACAGTTTATTCATCTACCAGAGGACATCTGGACCCACAGCCCAGGCGCAGCGAGGGGTGGGGTGCAGCCGGCTCACTGCCGGTGTGTGCACTCCTGCTTTGGGTGGAGATGGAAAGGTCTGTAGGATTCAGCCCCGTCTTCTTGCTCTTGCTTCTGCTTTGGGAACCGGCTGCTCTACTCTGTTCTCTCTCTCTCGGCTATAAATTCACAGTCACTCCTAATGGACAACCATGGTGTGAAATTCAAGGCCAAGTCAATGGAAACACATTTCTTCATTATACCTGTAGTAGCCAGAAGGTCAAACTCATCAGTGTTCTGGAGATGAATGCCACACAGGCCTGGAATCAACAGAGAGACGCTCTGAATTACGTGATGGAAGAGCTCAAGAAGATCCTGCTGGACATTAAAGCAGAGAGGATTGCAACCAGCGACCCTCTCTCCCTACAGGGCGGCATGCTGTGTAAGCAGGAGTCCAGTGGATGCACCAGCGCATCCTGGGAGTTTGCGTTGGATGGACAGATATCTCTTCACTTTGACTCAAAGAATGGAAACTGGACAGTGTTGCATGGTGAAGGCAGACTGTTAAACAAAACATTGGCGAGTGACAGAGCTATGACCGATCTCCTTATTAGGACCTCACCTGGAGACTGTAGGAAGTGGCTTAAACAAGTTTTGTGTCCCCAGATGAAGTTCTGAGCACAAAAGCTGCATCAACCACTGCCACAGCCCTGTCCACAGCCAGCAAGCGCATCACTTCCCTCCTCCCTGTGATCCTCACCTGCTGGGTCATCGCTGGCATCGTAGGCTGGAGCCTTTACAGTAACAGGCTGCCGATGCTGCCAAGAAGGCCCTGAGAGAGTGGACTACCTCAGCGACTCTGCCTTTGCTTGGCTGCCTCTGGGTGACCTGCTGCTCATTTTTAGACCACCCGGAGTTCAAACCTTCTGACCAGAGACCGGGTCAGATCAGGATGAGACCGTAGAGGCAGCACCTCGTGTCCATTATTGCATTTGCTGATGATCCTCTTCGGGGCCTTTTAAACATATCATGTCACTTTCTCTGGTGCTAAGAGATGTAATTCCTACATTTAAACATTAATAGCTTCAATAAGAAATCTCAACAAAGAGAACATTTTCCATCTTCTTTGTGGAAGATCAGATACATCTCGGCATCATGACTTTTCATGTAAATAATATTGCCAAAAAGTGCCAGACCTCAGGGCTTCTTTCTGTGTCCTCAAAATCAGTCATGTATTTTAAAAGAACAAAGTCGGATTTATGGCTATTCCCGTTAATAGCTTATAATAGTGTGATGAAATTTAAATAAACATCTTTATATTCTAAAACACTTTTTAAAAATTAAATCAATAGAAACATATTTAAAAGGTCAGTTTTATCTGTTAACCTCATTTTTTTTTCTTTGCTGCTGATTATCTTCATACGGCCAGTAATCAGTGATTGTTTGCTCAAATTTAAGAATAAAAAACTGATTAGACCAAGTACTTTGTATGGGTTTCTTCTGTTGTCTATGAACGTGTGCTTTTCTCGTAGTGGTTTCCCCTGAATGAGGGGCTGATTGGAATCTCCCTTCCTCTCCTTTTATTTCCCTTTGAGTCCGCCTTGTTGACTGATGAGCTTTGTGGTCAGAGGCAGAGCACTGCCTAGGGAATTAGGAGTTCTCTTAGTTCTAGAGTGAGGACTGCTGGGATATCCACACCCACACAAGACCTGTAGCTTTTTCTAAGCAGCTCTTTATAGTTTGTTTAGAAAAGGTTAAGTGTGTTTTATGATGGGGAGAGGTAAGCACTGTGCGTGTGTGTGTGTGTTGGCGGCGGGGGTGGAAGGCGTGTTTGCTCATGTGTTCACTCTATAGAGAGACTCCTTTTTTAATTTTTACATTACAGTTGACATACAATATTAGTTTCAGGTGCACAACATAGTGGTTAGACATTTATGCAATTTACAAAGTAATCCCCTGATAAGTCTAGTACCACTGGGCACCATCCACAGTTATTACAATATTCCCCGCGCTGTACTTTACATGCGTGTGTTTATTCTGTAACTACCAGTTTGTACTTCTTATCCCTTCACCTTTTTCACGAAGCCCCTAACCCCCCTCCATTCTGGCAACCATCAGTTGTTCTCTGTATCTGCTACTCTGTTTCTGGGTTTTTTGGTTCATTTGTTTTGTTCGTTAGATTCCACACGTAAGTGAAACCATATGGTATTTGTATTTCTCTATAGAGAGACTCCTATTTTATTTTGCTCCTTTCACACCTGTCCTCTGTCACTGAGCTTAGTGGGTTCCAGGGTTCTCCTGGGGAGTTTAGCTTTCACCTGCATCTTGGTTTCCTCCTGGTCTTCTTTCTCATGAACAGGTTTCCATGTACAATGAGTCCTCACTCAATGTCGTCAGTAGGTTCTATGAGTTTAGTGAAATGACATGTAATGAAGCCAGTTGTCCCCTAGGCTCACTGAGGTAAACAAGTTGAGTTCCTACAGCATCTCTTTCACATTATAACGAAACAATGTTGAACAAAATGACATTTTAAAAAACATGCTGTCCTTTCAGACTTCCAGAAAATGGTTAGTTTCCAGTTCCCAAATGACCACCTCCCAATCTCTCCACTCTTACAAGTGTATTCATGTCTGTGTTCCTTTATCGTTTCAGGATTGAGGAGAAAAGTCAGGCAAGGCACATGTGTACAGGTCTGAGCTAAAATCAAGGAGCTCCCTTAAACCACAGGTTTTCACTGCCCGTCGCAGGCTAGCTTGTGGGCCTCGGGCTGCCACCAGTGCTTCGCTGTTTTGCCCACCTGGAGCCAATGTTCGCACAGGCAGGGTTTCTTCATGGCAGCGGCTGTGGAGTCAGAGTCTTGGGTTTCGGACGTGGCTCTGGACCTGTCTGGTGCATCGCTTTAGGAGAGTTACTTAAAATGTGTGCCTCAGCCAGGACCCAGTCAAGATGATTACTGGTGTCTACCTCATGGAGTAATCTGAGAATGACTTCATGCATTTCCAGGGCCATAGCATTTCTAAAACTGTCCTCTGACTTTAAAATAACCTTCTCTGAAAAAAAATAATAACCCTCTCGGTCATAAAAACCATAAGCAGACGCAGAAGGATGCCAACAGGCAGAGGTAAGCCGAGTGCATTCCCATGTTGCATCCCCTCGTCCTGAGAAGTCGTCATTCCCACTGGCAAGTGATTCCTGACAACGTGCAGAATGCTAGGCTTAGGGGCTAGGAGGGAAGACAGCAAGATGACTTTCTAAATCCTGCCCCTTGCCATAGCTTGTCCGCAGTGTTGATTTCATTTTTACAGTTCTCTGACTAAATGAGAACCTGGTGAATCACTGCATAATTAAATTACCCCGAAACAGCAGGATGCACCCTGGCTTCTCTCAGATAGGCCAGACATGTTTTCTCTTTATTTGGTTGATGGAGGAAAGGTGACACTTAAGGGGAAATATTTTTCTTCCTACATTTTTAAATATACAAAAAGGATATAAGGAGAAATAAAGGTCTTCCATCACAAACATCAACATTTATCATTTTAAACTTTTACAGACCGTTAACCAAAGAAAAGGTCCAACGACCTCTAAACGTTCCTTTATGTGTTCCCAGCATTTGGGTGAACTAAATAGGTCATTTCCATCTAGGTCTGGGCTCTGTCTCTGGCAGACACCAGAGGACTGTTGAGGGAGGTCTTGGTCATGGTCCTTGCTGTTCATCTCAGGAAATAAGTTGAAGAGCCAAAATGCATGGATTTCCTTACCATGTTATGAGAATGCCAACAAAAATATGTATATGTAGAACTCTGGTATTTCAACATTTTTTCAATAGTTATTACTTTAGGGAAAAAGTCTATAATTCTATGACCGCTTACAAAAATAGTTCCTTTTTTAAAGTATAAGGCACAGGCCAGGTGCTGTGACGTCCTTGTTCTTTTCCTTCCACGTGTGCCTCCTTCATAACTGTTATGACCACAGCTCTGTGTTGGGTTCAGGTGTCAGGAACCATAGAAATGACCTATCCTGGGTTATGACTGATGACGGGCTCTATAGTTGAGATCCCTTCCCTCTAAATACATTACCACACACCTTAACTTGACCTTCCCTGGGGTATTTCTGTCAGTCCCTATAGCCTTTACAGCACACCCCTCACCCGTTTGATATTTCACTGTCCAGAGATGTCTACTCTGTCTGTCTGTACATGCAAATAGTAAATAAAACTGTAACTGACTGTGATCCCGAAGAGACCCTGTTCTAATCCCGATTCTCCTAAAAATGTGTCTGCTGTTGGTTTTAATTTTTCAATTTTTGAAAACCTATCTTTAGTGCCAGTTATGTATTAAAATGTCTTCCCATTCTCCACTTTATAAGAGCCGTAGCCAGTAGCAACTTGTTAACTGGATTCTGAAAGCCAAGATTACCATCACTGCTTTCTCACATGGCGTCTCTCTCTCTCTCCCTTTCTCTCTCTCTCTCTCTCTCTCTCTCTCTCTCTCTCTCTCACACACACACACACACACACACACACACACAAGATTCTATTGAATTGACTTATAAAGTCACTTGTTTTCCTGGTAGATTGCATTTATCAAAACCATTTAAATTCATCATTGATTAACGAAAAGACAGGGCCAAACATTGGCAAGAGGAGAATGGAAATAGAAAATGAACCTCCTAGCAAAATGATTTTTAAAAGAAAGTGTTTTCCTTTAAAAACTTAGTTTCTCAAATTTTTTGGTACAATGGTAAATGGGATTTTTTTTTAAATCTCTTTCTGTAAATTCACTATTGGTGTATAAAAATGTCATAGATTTCTTGGCGTTAATTTTGTATCCTGCTACATTGGAATCTTTAGGGTTTTCTATGTACAGTATCATGTCATCTGTGAATTATGACAGTTTTACGTCTTCTTTTCCAATTTGGATACCTTTTATTTTTTTCTTCTTGTCTAATTGCTATGGCAGCACTTCCAGTACTATGTCAAACAGGAGTGGTGAAAGTGGGCATCCCTGTCTCATTCCTGTTCTTAGGTGAAGTGGTTTTAGTTTTTGCCCATTGAGTATTATGTTGGTTGTATGTTTGTCATATAAGGCTTTTATTGTGTTGAGGTATGATCCCTCTATTCCCATTTTTCTGAGGGTTTTTATCAAGAAAGAGTGTTGGATTTTGTCAAATGCTTTTTCTGCATCAATTGATATGATTATGTGGGAATGCAGGCTGGTGCAGCCACTGTGGAGAACAGTATGAAGTTTCCTCAAAAAAACTAAAAATGGAACTCCCATTTGACCCAGTGATCCCACTTCTAGGAATATATCCCAAGAAACTAGAAACACCAATCAGAAAGGATATATGCACCCCTATGTTCATAGCAGCACAATTTACCATAGCTGAGATTTGGAAACAGCCTAAGTGCCCATCAACAGATGAGTGGATTAGAAAACTGTGGTACATCTACACAATGGGATACTACGCTGCTGTAAAAAAGAAGGAATTCTTACCATTTGCAATAGCATGGATGGAACTGGAGAGCATTATGCTAAGTGAAATAAGCCAGTCAGAGAAAGATACATATGACATGATCTCACTCATATGTGGAATATAATGAACAACATAAACTGATGAACAAAAACAGATCCAGAGGCAGAGAAGCATCGATCAGATGCTCAAACCTCAGAGGGAAGCTAGGGGAGGGTGGGGGTAAGGGCGAGAGATCAACCAAAGGACTTGTATGCATGCATATAAGCCTAACCAATGGACACAAACACCAGTGGGGTGAGGGCATGAGTGGGGTGGGTTGAGGAGGCAATGGGGGGATAAGGACACATATGTACTGTAATACCTTAATAAAGAAAAGAAAAGGGAAAAAAACTTAGTTTCTCATTACCCCTTAAATGCTTGAAACTTTGGATTGTCATTTAAACATTCTCCTGATGTTGAGTAAGTAGGAATACCTGTTTCAACTAAAGAGAATATATACCTTTATATGCCAAATGCAGTTCATTACAATGACTGGGATTTTGTTTACATAGAGTAAGCCCATATAATTTAACTTTGAATTGCTGTATTTTAAATGTAAAGTGAAGTGACTAAACATAAAACTTGTCTGTGTCTCTTCATGTGTACATCTTTTAAAAGGAGAATGAATATGCATGCACATTTGAGAAGAATACATTTAGGATACTACTAGTGATCAGTCCCTCTGCAGACCATGTACTTAAGCCAAGAGAGTCTTACATGTTTCATGGAGTTTTAGAACATAAGTGCTGTATATTTGGTGTCTAATGATATCAAG